TTTAGTTTACTGTTTTAATTTTTTTTATAATTCTAATAACAGATCTAACACATTCTTCGATTATATTACAATTCTACGTGAAACCAGGTCAAAGATGGTTTCTATGTGATCATACACAAATTATTATAAACAACACATTTTTCGCATGGAAATGTGCGTGGTTTAATACATAGGATCATATTTTACATACGAGTAGTTTTCTTGGACTATTGTGGAACGTCATAATCAACAAAGTTGATTTCTTTTGTTATTGCCAGACTTTAATCAAAGACAGTGAACCCTAGTAGCGAAATATTGTTCATCTTAGTACACCTCTTATACAAAGGTAATAATCGAACTTGACAGTTTAATTAGTGCAGCTACATAGCAAGAAAAGAAATGAAGTTGAACACACATGGTCTCAGTTTTATTTCTACATAAAAGTTGAATTATTGGATTCACTATACTAGAAAGAACATGACGATAATATTACATCAAAATGCTGTTGATTTTATCGGGACTAGTTTTTATCGGTATCTCAATAAGATTCAATTCACAACCTCAGTGACTACGATCCAATAACGTATTTACTGATAAGTTACGATTGTTATGTTTCTTTGAGTTACGCTTAAGTAAACTCACCTGTAAACTAACGCTAGAGGCTTTGATCACCATATGTACGATATGCTTGTTTCAGAATTTTCGCATAAAGTTACACGAAGGAGCTGTTTAGGTGTAATCGTCCCTAATTTTGAATGGTTAATCAAGTGGGAAGGCAGCTAGCCAACAACATCCACGCCAATTTTTGGGATACTCTTGTGTAGCTGAAAAGTGGGATTTGACCATCGTTCTTATAGCGCACCCACGGATCCATGAACCATCGGATTCACAGCCCGGACACGTTATCACCGAATACGTAAGTTCTGTCTTATGATTTAATCAATTTGATTTTATGAAGTGAAGTTTATTCAAGAAACAAATAAAAATAATTGTAAAAATGGCAGGTGTTTTTGTTAATTTTTCCAAGTTTCTTTGTGATTTATAAGACCAGAGTTCCCTAGGTGCTGTTTATAACAAAATGTTATCGCCAAATCGTGAAGGTGAATGTTTAGTAATAGATATCATCTTTTTCCATTAACTCGAAACTACTATTGGTCCATTCTTAGATAATATACATATATATATAATGCTGGAAATATTATGAAAACAATAAGAAAAACTCGGTTCTTAACTGGTGGCCCAGTAGGAATTCCAAGTAAGAAGAGTGTATGATAGTTAATTGATTAACTCTTTCTGGTGTAGGCTGCTGCCAAAGGAAGAACTCTTCTCAATAACTAAGATCATTAGACAGGCTGAATTACATCTAAAGACGTAGGGAGAAGTATAATTATCGTTTAATATAAGGCAAATAAAAGATCATATTAGTGTTCGTAATATGTCTACATACAGTACATGGTGGTGTTTCATTATTAACAAGAACATGTAAAAATATTATATGCTAGATTGTATTTATACTTTTTGAATAAATATTTTAATCAACACACGTGACCAGACAATAATTTTGTTTGCTAATCCGTATCAAAGATTTGAATGAGAAATTCTAAAAACAAAATCCATATAAAATATAATATCGTCCATTCAAGGTACTGACCAACCCCTCAAAAGAACAATGTCGTTCTTGTTGTCTTGGATTAGAATAAAATCATTTTTGCAGACATGCATAAGGAATAATGAATAAATCCATTTTTAATCTTATCCATTTTGTACTTTTCAAGCAATGATATGTATGCTGCGAACCACATGTCAATTTGTTGATCTCAGCCTTTCTACTTTCAAACACGTGGCAAAATTATTCTGGCTCTAAACATTAATCTAAAAATGGCACAAAAATTCCATACCCGGTACTCATATTGTTGATGAGATACACAGTTACTACTGCCGTGGGGTCTAGGGTATAAATAGTAACAGTCTATTGAAGATTTGTCTAGTTAACGTGAACGACTAGATGTAAAGCCACTAAATTGCTTCTCCTACATCTATTCAATATTTGAGAATATTTTAAGTTTTACTGTCAATGGAGAATGTATTACTCAATACCATTAAAGTATTCAAATGTCTCCTGATTGTCCGCCGAATAATTCAAGTCCGTGACGAACATGACAGTTTGATTATATTTTATATCTATGAGATAGCTCAAGGAGCTAATGATTGAATTACCTAATTCGGAGCATACATTACTTTTACATTCTCTAGGAAACTGGATTCTTCTGGAAGCAAAAGGCTAAAAACCAAAAGTATTATTTACTGATATGCAGACAGGAAAAGCGTGAGGTTTCAGAACTTCGCGCACCAAATGTTCATTCTACTTTCTGAATCAAGGATTTTGTAATAAACCTTTTAAGGTCACAAGCATATATTATAGTTTAAGTAAACAAAAATATGTAATGACTTAGGGATATTCTCTGAAGTAGAATTATCTGAAAAGTTTTTTGTTTTAGAATTTTAGGATGAGAAAAGTATATCAATTGTTTCTATATAAATTAGACTAAGTTACCTGTAAGCATGAGAATATACTTACGTTATAATAATGTTATCTTGGAACAATGGTAAATATATAGTAAATTACGATGACAAACTACATTCGTTCAAGTAACATGATGTCAATTATTGTCCCAAATGTTGGAAAACATTTTGAATTTTTTGTCGTTAAAACTGGTTGAGTTTACATTAATGGCAGATAATTTGCACTTTGTATAGATTTTTACGACAAAATTCTGTATTGAAACTGAGAGACAGTTTCACCAGTCTAGTGATAATAGGAAGTTAACTATTAATTTTGAAATATAATTAAAAGTTTACACAAAAATTAAATTTTCATTTGGGTTATGTTTAAATATTAAACTGTGAGAGTTAAAATCCGTAATTATTAAAGATTGATCCGTTTGCATTCATTAATACATATATTTACTCATCAATCAGCACTTTGTAATATTGTTTCATTATTTTTCAGAACCTGTCAAGTAGTCTGTTCTTAATAATAGATTGATTCAAGATATATGAACACAAGCCTTATGGCTCATTAAAAAAAACAAAATTGAAAATTGTTTAAGCTGGTCAAAATAAAGACAGCATACAATGGTAAAATACATTTTGATCATCGCTTGAGATCATTTTCAAATTGTCACTACATGTATCATTTAAACCAGAAAATTCACATTTCACAAAGGAAAGTTTTAATAATCAACAAATTTTATTTAAAACAGTAAAAGCTTTTAAGTGAGATAATAATTTGGATTTTAAATTATTTGTTTTTACTTCATAGCAATTTTGTAGAATGGATACTAGTCTTTAACAGATATCACATACAGTTCTTTGAAAAACATAATTAACATTTAGTAATGAATTTACAAGCTTCTCCAATGGACTGCCTTCTGTTGAACTGATAAAGAGAAGAGGTTACTTTTAGAATAACCTAGAGAATACGGCTGTTGACTATAAGGGGTTTAGTTTCGACGCTGGTGTAATCTTCATAATTTTAGCTGAAACTCTTAGTATTTATGGCACAGTAAATATTATGTGTAAAGACATATTAATTACACTTGGTAACATTCGTTATTATGTGTTTATTGTTTGAATGCTTATATTATTGGTTTTGAAGAAGGGCGTAAGCTTTAAGCTATAAAGTGTAAAACGAAAAACTATTACAAAAGTTTAGAAATCAAAATTATAGTACAACAAAAGTGATTTGGCATTTCATATCAACTGATTATACAACAAAAGTGATTTGGCATTTCACATCAACTGATTATACAACAAAAGTGATTTGGAATTTCACTTCAACTGATTATACAATAAAAGTTGTTTGGCATTTCACATCAAGTGATTATAGAATAAAAGTTGTTTGACATTTCACATCAACTGATAACTTGTTCGACCATCCTGTTTTTCATTATGAGAAGAGAATATAATGATAAACTATATTATAAAATGATAATGTGTCAATATTTTCTGACTCATCACACAAACTGACTTGTTTTACTCCTGTCAATCATTCCTTTGCTAAAAATCATATATAGTATTATCAGAGAAAGTTTAACTCGGCATTTCTGATGAGCCTAACTCACTTCATATTGTTTGAAAACAGAAGATATGGAATTAACATTCCAGATGATGAAAATATCAGACTAAAATTATGCCTTATTATAACACTTCAATTTGAGCGAGTATCATGTGATTACCTTCAGAACCATAATATTTTAATATAATCAAACATTGGTTGCCTACACTTGTATAGTTTTTATGGTGGAATTGCATATGACCGACCTAAGAAAAAATATTCTAAGGAAATGGAATTACAGAAAAGAATCGAACTTCAATATATTTGTTTAGGTGAAATTGAATAAATAAAAACATTTAATAATACCTCACTATTAAAATATGTAAGTAGATAGGATCCTTTTATCATTGACTGTGTATTCGTTACCTTAAAAAAAGGTCTTGATAATTCATATACTTATAGTGTATTTGCCAAAAGACCTTCAATTAAAGCTTATAAAGTTTGTTGCTAAATAATTTGATATTAAAATACGAAAATAGTTTACATTGAAACATCATATCATAATAATAGTGTACAAGTTTTTCCTATCATTTTCCAACACCTATACGGCACTTTTATAATGCTATATTCGACACGTTATAACTTTTCCCATATGATATAGAAAAGCACGACATATGTGTCTGAAACAGCCATGGAAACACTGAAAACAAACAAAAAAGTTAAGCTAAGACAACCTTCTATTGTTGATTTACACTCGAAACTGCGCTGTGCAAGTGATTAGCTTATGGATGTACTTTTAATAATTGTTTTTGTATTCAATAGCAACAGATTATCCGTGGTATATGTATTACCACTGTACTAAACACTATGATTATTTTCCTGTTGTTTTTCATCATTTAAATATGAAGACACACTACCGAGATAAAAGTGATACGACCAATGGGAACTAAGCATTACAGCTTACCTGAAAGAGAGAGGACGAACAAAATGTTTTCACCTGGTTTCCACTAGAAGGTAGAATTACTGAACTCAGAGTGAAAATGACTGAGATAAATCACCGGGTTTGTTGTAAGTCAGTTGTTAAGCGATGTCACTAGAATAAAGTTAAAATATAAATTGGTAAGCTACGACAACATTTATCAGTTTTAGATATAACGTCCCCGACCTTGTGAAGTTCAATTGAAACTATAGACTACCTGTATAAATGTATGTATATAGTTTTAACCATAATTTACTTGTGCATTTATATATAACTTCGGCTCATTTCAATACATACAATAATATATAAAAATATGTTAACTAAATATCTCATAGATTTGGAAAGTGAAAAGGTATTTGATTTTTTTGTATAAAACTGTATAGCCAAACTTAGTCATAAAAACATGATACCCAAATCTACATTACTATTCTCCACATTTCGGTAGTAAATAGATGTCTCATATATCTACGTTGCAAAAAATACTGAAGGATAAATTTCAGGCTAATGATAAAGATATGGTCCCTTTGTCTCTAACAATAAAATGTGTTCTTTCTAGCTACAATCAAAAGAGATACGATTAGGGCTTTAATTAGGTTTGCCACCTTTCCAAAATTAAAATAAAGAACTTCCTGCGTTTATACCTCAGCTGATCAGAGTAGTAAAAAAAGGATGCTAGTTTAGTGTAAGAAAAAAATAAATGACATGAAATAGAATAATTTAGCTGTCAACATACGACATCAGTGAACGGAAGACAAATAAATGAATTAGAAAACCGCCCTTAGAAATAGAAGGTAACTTTAGATTGAATGATAAGGAATAGTTAATATTCCCATTGCAGTGAGATAGTTTTCATTACTTAATTTCTGTAGTGCATATTGGTGTATAGAATACATATTAATACTAGAAATAAACGACCTAATAACACCAAAACGTTGTTTATATTTAATTAGACATTGAACGTTTCGCTTTACAGCTTCTTCGGGATCTTTCACTAAAACACAAACCTGTTATGGTTTCGGTTTGTATTTCAGTATTTGAAGAAGCCGTAAAGAGATAGTTTTCAAGTCTAAAAGAATATTTGCTGTGAAATTTTTGGTGGAGAAAAGTTTTGGGTTTCAGTCTTTTTAAAGATTGTTCAAATTAGATCTAACGAGAAGATGTCATATTTTAAGTGCAAGTTGTTGAGTAGAAAAAATAAAATATTTGCTTGTAAACTAATTCTTAAAATAAAACATACTTTGCTTGATATTTAGCTACTATGATCAAACAAGTGTATTGATGATATTTAGAAAAGCAAGTAATATTTATTGTTAACTTAATACTTGGACAAACACGATAAAAAAACACAGTAGAGATCAGCCATGATATGGAAAAATAAAATAAAAAAGAATTAAACCCCAAACAAAAGCGCTGCTTGTCATTAGGTAGTGACTATAGTCACATGAAATTATCCCTCGTTTCTGTGCACAAGTGTAGACTGACGTCATGCACCCGTGTGGACACGGACTATAATTGCGGTCATCATTCGAAAATTCATTTTGCTATCCATAAAATCAGTTGCTGAGAAGTCCGGAAGAAAGTAAAACAAAAAAGCGGCAACACGCTAATGCATTAAATGTTTCTAAAAGTTCAGAGATAACACTTAATGTTCTTAGTGGAAATGGTGAGGTGATTAACGTTTACTTGATAATTAGAACTGGATTCTTGGGTGAGTTTCGTTTAATTGGATCCTGCCAGCTCTCCTGTCTAACGAATGGTGAGGTGATTAACGTTTACTTGATAATTAGAACTGGATTCTTGGGTGAGTTTCGTTTAATTGGATCCTGCCAGCCCTCCTGTCTAACGAATATGACTGTTGATAAAAAACATTAACTATTGCTTCCGTCAGTAATAAGAATGGTAAAGGTAAAGTAAAGAGCTTTGTGTCTAATGAACACATGTTTTGTTCAGAAACATTTGATACAGATGTCTCTTATAGGAACTTTATTTTGACAGCGCATATTCATTTATGTTTGCAAACTCTAATTCATTTAGAGATATACGAAGTGGAGTTTCCAAAAGGCTTACTTGGAGTGCCTCGATGATAACTAAAATCATATAATATATATAATAGTTTGACTACCTGTTTTAGTTCCTAGTTCATGGTTTCATACATTTAATCTCCTAAAATACCCATGTGTCATTGCTTTTTGTTTTCCTTCAGTCGTATTTAGTCATTTAAAACTCAAATCAATCTCACGATTTCAAAAGCTAGTGTCTTTGTCCTTCTGTAACTATTTTTAACACTTTTACTCGATAGCGCGAAGCTAACTTTAATGTACTGAGCTGTAACGCGTGGGTGATTCAGAAACGATCGTACAGGAGATGCGAAAACACTTCCGTGGGAGAAGAGGCCACAAACACGATTTGAGTTTTAACAGTAAGCCTAACAAATTATTCCTACACCAGGTAAGCTTCAGAAGATCTGTGCATTATTAAAACACCAATGAAATTATGAGACTCACCATGATTATGAAACAATGTAATCCGAAATAACAGAAGATACCTTTTCGTCGTGGGTTTGAGAAAGAAGGAAGGAAAAAAAAACAAGATCGGTAGATGTGAGTGAAAAGGAATAAACTGAGAGAGGTAAAGGGACAAAGTAATACGCTGCCAATAAGAAACAAAACCTAGTTCTAAATCTATCATTGTGTTAATGATTATAGTAATAAACAGCAAATTGTTATGGACAAAAGTTGATGGACATAAGGAAAGAAAGAGAAGCCAAAGTACAGCTTGATCGTAACAAAGTAGTGTCAAAGCGATTTACAATAAAATTCTGTCAGAAGTGGGGAATAATCAGTTCGTTAGAAATGGAACCCATCAACGAAAGAAGAGTTTGGAGTTGGAACCACATCAAAAGAAGCCGAGGAGGATAGTCTACTGGATGAAGCAGTGAAGTCGGATTTTGGTTTTAACAGATAATTCTCACTGGTTATAAGTTCATTGTTTAAGAGCAGAGAATAAACACTAGCATAGATGAGAATTGGAAATCACTGACGAAAAATCAGTTGGTTAATAAATGTAGAGAATTGGGTATAATTTGTAGTAGCAGTTAGAAAATAGATGAGATACGTGAAGTTTTAACTGAGAGTTAAAATAGAGCTTAGTAAAAATATAGGAACTGCGAGTGGTATTCGTGAAGGTTATCATTGTAATAATTCAGAGCTTGCCAAGATAGAAGCTGAGACTAAAAGTTTGGAAATAGAAGTTGAAAAAAAAACGTTTAGAGCTAGAGCTAGACGATAGGCATAAGCATGACCATGAGTGGAAGGGAGGGTAATTTGGTGATAGAAGCACCCACATGCAGTTGCCCAAATTTTGAAAAGCGATATAGATGTATTTTTCTGTACTTTTGAAAAAACAGTGAGACCAAAAGAATGGCAGTAACAGGATATGGTGAGGAAACTACTTCCTTCATTACCTTGAAATGCGTTAGCAGCATACAATAACATAGGGAGCACAGACGATTTAAAGTATGATGTATTGAAATAAGATATTTTAGAAAAAAACGAGTTACGTCTGGAGGCTTATCACAGGAAATTCAGCAAATAAGATATTTAAGTAACATGGAACAAGACAGCAGTAAAACTGATGAATGGAAACAGAAGTTCATTGCCAAACCAGTGCATGAGATTATAAGAGATTATGAGAGTGTATTTGATGATAGGCAAAGGCAGACCTGATTAGTTAATTAAGCACACAATACAAGTAACTTCTAATGTTGTGATAAAAGGAACCCAAAGGGATCATTTGAGGAGAGCTCTAAAAGAGGAGATAGAAAAGTTGTTAAAAGGTAGCAAAATTAGGGATAGGCTGAACACTTATGCATAATTAAAACGAAAACGAGGATCAGTAAAAACTACAACTGGTCAGGTGTGTTTGGAGATATAGAGGATTAAGTAAAGAGCTGTTCAGCATGTCAGTTAACTGGTAAGAGGAACATTATAGTAAAAATCCCAATGGTTAATTTACCAGTTATTAGTGAACCATTTAGTTCCGTTAGTGCCAATAGTAACAAAAGATGGGAATAAATATGTTCTGACAGTGGCTTACTCTGTTACTAGATATGTAAAAGAAGTAACACTATATTCTAAAGAACCAGAGAAAATAGCGCGATAGCTTATAGTGATATCTCGAGGATCATCGGATTTCCTGAAAAAATCGTTTCAAATTTAGGTAATTTTCCATCAAAAATAAGGCAAGAATTTTGGATGGCGGCAGAAGAAAAAAATGAAACGCTTTAGTCCTTACAAAACCCAAACAAATAGGCCGTATGTGAGAAAAGATGTGGCAATTGAGGCTATACTAAAAGTAACAGTGCAGGGGAATCCTGTTGCCTGAGATATGATACTGACTTCCACGTAACTTACATACTTAGAAGTCCCCCAAGCTTTAACAGATTTAAGTTACTTCATGGTAGAGATATTTAGGGTCTATTAGATTTATTAAAAATAAGTTGGTCCAGAGACAAAAGCCAAGTCATGAAAAGTGTTAACATATGTGACCAGCCTGAGGCAAAGGTTAGCAGAGAAGCAGAAGGTAGTGGGTAAATTATTCAAAAAAGCAAGGATAAGCAACATCTTCACTATGATAAGTATACTGGAGAATGGGAATTTAAGGTGAATCAGTTTGTTGCGGTCCTGGACCCAGTATCCAAAAATAGATCAGTGGCAAGTTCGATATGTCCTTTTGCTATAATTGATATATGAGGTAGATATAGAGGGTGGAGAATTAGTTCGATTAGCATATCATGTAAATATGCTTAAGTCATGATACACTAGAGTTGCACCTGAAACTTGTGTGATTACCTGTTTAAAGGCTACTAATAACTAGGATAAACAGAAAACTGTCTTAGATCCTTATGAGCACAAAGGGCATGTCAAAATTATTGGAGGATTAACCTCTAAACAATAGGAGGAAGTGCATGAGATTGTGAGAGATTATGAGAGTGTATTTGATGATAGGCATAGGCACACTTGATTAGTTCAGCACACAATAAAAGTAAATTATAATGTTGTGATAAAGGAACCCAAAGAACCATTTGAGAGATCTAAAAGAGAAGATAGAGAAGC